TGTGTCCCTGTCCAGTTCTTTGTTCAGGTGACAAAAGAACTTGTTATCTTCTGGACTAGTATCTTCTTAGGCCCTGCAGTCCAGGAATAATTGCACACACAGATCCATGTCAGGGGCAAGGGGTGGCTCCAGCAGAATGGACTTAAAGTTAAACCTGGTGTGGCTGAGAAATCACCGATGTGTGAAATAAAACATTCCTGAAGAAACTATTATAATACAATTCTTCAAGCAAGCACCAGATAGACAACTTCTTCCTTCACAGGGCACATGGGCCATCATTGACACAGCCTGGGGGACATTTGTGAGATAAGGTTTACTTGACCTTTAGATTAACAAGTCACTATTCTGCTCTCAGGACAATTAGGTAAAAGAACAGCCCCTGGCTTGACCAATCCTCTTGCTAAGAAGGCAGTAAGGTTCCACCTTAGTCCAGTGGTCAGATTCCCTCCCCACGCACACCTTACCTAAACCCACCACGTAATGCCCCATGGAACGTATCACTTATTTCTCTATACAGGTCATTCTACTTCTTAGTTTTCACAACACTCTTTTGGGGTGACTTGAATCCTTGTTCCTGTATCTAAGTCACTAGTATTTGGCTCAGAATAAACCTTGTTATTTTCCTTTAAAGCAGATTCTTTATTTTAGGCTAATGATACTGGATTATTGATACTGAATTAGTGTCCTGGCATAGTCAGTAATTGAAGATACTGGACCAGGAGTTAGGTGTTAAACAAGCACAAAGTTTATTGAAAGGACAGCAAAGCACCCTGACAGGTGGGACCTAGTGAAAAAGCTAAGCCAAAGGAAGGCTGAAGTCTAGGAGATGCTATAGGGTACTAACTGGCTTAGGTCCAACGCTCCTACCTTGAAACTACATTTGTGATTGGTTGGCACCTAGTCAACTTCTTACTAAATCCAACTACCTGTCTGTTCCTCTCCTTTTGGAACTGGACCTTCCAGGAGGATCTGATCAGCTCATCCTGGCCCTAGGGTCTACTACCCACATTGTACAGCTGCATCTTGTTATTTTGTTTGGCAAAGGGTTTGTTATTTCTCTGAGAAGCCTGTTGTTTTCTATTCATCTTTAGATGTCTGCTTTTAAAGTGTTTCTCTCATCCAAAATGGAGTCACCTCTGTCATTGTTCCCTTTACATTAACACATGTCTGCACCATCTGAAAGAAAGAGGGGAAGCAAGAATTGAAGTTCAGCTATGGGAAAGTGAAGAGACTAGAGTGTTGTATGGCTGGGTCTACGGATTGTCAGATATCATCGCTGGGCTAGCATTGCTAATTTCCACTAAAGACATGAAGAATTTCACATATGTGGAACTGGAAACCCCAGACATTTATTTTAGAGGACTGAGGCCTTGCTTCCTAGAGTTTAATCAATAAACAGGGCACCAGTAATTGCAGTGCCATTTCACAGTCTGCAGGATCCATACGTGGGATCCTAAAGCGGCGACTGGAGGGTGAAGCAGAAAAGAAATATGAGGCTGGAAAAGCTTTGCAGTTTTGAAAGCCAGCATTCTCGGGGAGTCTCTGGTACAAGGTTACACTCAGCAGGAATGGGACCAACCAAAGCCATTAACCCCTTCCCCAATGGCAAAAAAATGACTCTAAGATTTTTTTCCCAGGGAAGGAAAAAGTGGCTCCAGTTTTACAGCAGAAATAAATAAGAAATAGCCTGGGGAAGAATTTTTTAACAGACAACTCTGCTGGAATAGAGCTTCACAAGTATTCCTAGAATTGTGCATTGTGGTGGGTCCATGGTGGTATTAGGTGGCAAAAAGTGTGACAGTCGCTGACTCCAACTGATGCTCTTGCCCTGTGGTGGGCACAGGGGTTGGCTCGGATACTTGGTTCTTGGTGCCCCCTGCAAGGTCAGTCCACTAAAAAGTGTTTTTATAACCTGTGGTGTGGGCTGCACAAAGTGCACCTCCTCAGTTCCCAGTGGAAGTACCACAGCTTGGGTGGTTTGAACAGAAACATGCCTTCTGAAAGTTCTGGAAGGCTGGATGTCCAAAGTCAAGGTGTAGGCAGGGACTGGCTTCTTCTGAGGGCTATCAGCTTGCAGATGGCTACCTTCTGGTATGTCCTTATGTGGCCTTTCGGTATGTAATTTCCCTCTTATAAGGAAATCGGTCACTTTAGACTAGGGCCCACCTTAAATCCAATTTGACTTAATTAACTCTTTAAAGTCTCATTATCCAAACTAGTCACATTCTGAAGATAAGACTTCAGTAAATAAATTTTTTTGGAGGGGGGCACAATTCAGCCTATAACATCAATTTTCCTACATAAGGTTAAGAATGGTCAGACATTACCATAGGCCTGCTTTTAGGGATTTCCATGAGATGAAACAAACCATAAAGTTCATAGGATATCTGTGTTAGCTTGCCTCGGCCTGGAGAATAGTATCAGATTTCGTAGTGACCTAGGCAATGAGAAAAGTACATAGAAGAAAACTTTGCCTGACATTTTGCTTAATAAGCAAAGTCTTTGCTTTGTTCCAGAAAAGACACCAGGGGACAGAACTCCCAGAATAATAAGGACTTGAAATCCAGACCAATGCCCTTCCACCTGCTCACTGCCTCCCCCTGGCTTCTTTGGTCCCTACCCACATACTTCTGCATGTGGCTTCCTGGTGACCTAGAGTGTGCCCTGGGGATGGCGTGGGAATGGGCAGTTGGGAAAGTTTTCTAACCCAGAGCACAGTACTGTGGGATTTGTCAAAGTTTATGTGGCATTCAGGGCCTCTGAAGGCAGCAAAGTGCAGACTGGTGTCCCTGGTATGCTGGAGAACAACTATTTTACATTTCCACTCAGAACTGCCATTAAGGAATGAGAGCTTTGCGTTATCCATTAGAAAGAGCTGTTTTCAGCATGCAGTGATTAACTGAGATTTATCAAGGATCTAGCATGGCCAAACAGGATACTGATCCCTTGAGGCTACTTTGGTGCAGTATTTTTGTTTACATTTTTTTGGTGTTGGGGACTGAACCCAGGGCCCCACAGGTGCTAAGCAAGAGCTCTACCACTGAGCCAAACCTCCCAGCCATGTCTTTAATAATAGTGGCAAATACATTGTGATAAGCACATGTTTATTAACTCATAACAGTTACAAAAATCACTGGACAGGTTTTTTTTTTTGAAAGAAAATTAAAAAGATTATTTGTAACTTGTGCACAGCAAGGAAAAAGTGAAGTCAGTATTTTAACTCAGGAAAATCTGTCTGGCTCCAAGCTTCAGGCCTGTGAAAAAACACACTATTTTGCCTTAAAATATGTCAGTTAGACAAGGAAGTTATTAAGTCTTTTCTGCAGATGTTTAGATAGGCTGGGATCCACAATAAAAGTTTATCTAAAGATATAACTGAGCTTCCAGTCAAGGTCACACTCCAGGGAAGAGGGGGAGAGATGTTTAGAAAGGGGAGCTGGGAAGAAGTCAAAAGAAATTTCATCATTTTCCAGTTTTGATCTCTGTATGAAAATCAACAACTGAATGCATGTCATTTTAAATGAAGCACTCAGCGGCAGTCTCAAGTGTTTTTAGAAGTCCCGCCTCTATCATGAACTTTATGAAAAATATGAACAATTAAGATGGAGGAGAGTGTGCCTTTAGCTGCCCCAAAACTGCCCAGGGCAATCCTTGTGCAATAGGATTGAGGAGGCTGGGTAGGCAGAGTCCCCAAACCTGTCCCAGATTCCTCCTGCTGCAACTTTGTCTTATACCACTAACGTCTAATACCACCTGCTTCTCCACAAGGTGTTTCAACATAAGTGTTCACAAACGAAAACTAAAAAGGTTTACTCCCATTATTCGGTTAACTGCATAAAAAATGTCCTGTCACGGTTCTTAAACTCCCATTGTCCTTCCAGACTCAGAGAAACGGCACTCTAGAATAATTTTATGTGGGTCAACAGCTTTTATGAAAGGGGTAGACAGGGTAAATTAGGAACTTAAACTCTTGCACACCACGCAGTCACGTTCGGGAAATGCCAGCGTTCGCTAGCGTTAAGAGCTCAAGGTTGAAAAGGTCACTACAGAAAGGCTAATTACAATCCCGGCTCGGGCTCTACGTTTGAGTTTCGAGTTAAATGGTTTATAAAACCCAGTCTGACTTTTAGCTGTTTGCATTGCAACACTGCTGTGTGCTTCCCCACGCCGGCACTCGGGCCTGCGCGCTCTGCAGGACCGCGCACCGAGACCGCCCAGCCCACCGCGCAGGCCCACTTCCAGCGGCCACCCGATGACCCAAAGCGACTGGTTGGAAAGTACTGATCTGGACTCCGCCTTGCGCCCTGGGCCGGAACCATCAGACACAGACCAGAGAGTGCTTTGAGCCCGGTGCGGGCGGGGACGAGGTTCCGAGGCGCCCCCTGCACATCCGGAGGTGGGCCAGTGTCATCGCCTCCACCATGCACGTTCACCACGGCAGCAGTCCGCGGCCGGACCTCAGCCTCTCCCTTCCAGGTCCGTGTCAGCCCACCAGGCCACCTTCGGCTTGCAGGACCCAGCGTGCAGCGGAACCAGGTACCGCAGAGTTCCGCGTCGAACCCAACTCGGCAGGAGGGGGCGGGGCTCGGAGCAGGGCCGGGTTTAATCTGGGGGCGGGACTAGGGTCTGGGCGGAGCGTGGAGGGGCGTGGCCTAGCTCTCAATGCGGCGGGAGGGGCGGGGATGTGAGCCCGGCTGGCCTTAGTGTGGTGGGGAGAAAGGGGCGAAACTTAGCGCTGATTGGTGTTCAGGACCTGCCCCGCGGTCTTAGTGTGGTGGGGAGAAAGGGGCGAAACTTAGCGCTGATTGGTGTTCAGGACCTGCCCGCGGGGCCGGGCTGACTTGGCGCGCGGCCGAGATGGGTGGAGCTGAGCTCGACGTGGGCAGGGAAGGGCGGGGCGCGGGACACCCCGCGTGGCTATCCCTGCGGCTGCTCGCTCGCTGCCTTTCCTGCCAGCTGCCGTGGAGCGCGCAGCTGAGGAGGCGCGGCTTGGCGGGAACTGGAGGAGGGCGTGCGGAGCCTAGTGTCGAGGGGCTGTGGGAGGCGGGGTCCTGTCCCAGGTCTCGCGGAGGAGGGCTGGAGGTGGCGGGCTCTGGCGAGGTCGCGATGAAGCCGAGCCTCGAGGACGAGACGGTGGCCGCGGGGGGCCCCTGGGAGGAGTGCTTCGAGGCGGCGGTGCAGCTGGCGCTGCGGGCGGGACAGGTGAGCGCACTGGCCGCGGGCAGGTGGGCGAGGGCACTCCAGAAGGGCTGGCGGGCTGGCCGCGTCACTCCCACTCGGAACTCGGCCAGCCGGAGGATGCCCTGCGCGCGGGCCCGGGAGTTCTCGGTGGGAGCGGGGCGGGCGGGCGCCTGGCATCCGCACACAGAGGTGCGGGGGCGGCATGCGGTGAAAGAAGTCCTGTGCGTGTTCCCGGGACGCACCTTTCTCGTTCCCTTCCCTAGCAGCCCGAGGGGGCGAGCACCCCGGTAGTACGGCGGCGGGGGTGAGGCGCAGCTGCCGCGGAAGAGGGCGGGACGCGGCCCCTCTGCTTTGGCCGTTGATGGCAAGCTGCGGGTTCCTTGACCTTGGCGTTTGAGAGTGTCGATGAGAACACAAACCCTCTCCCGGGCTGAAAAACCCCCGCTGTTTGTTGTTAAAGGTCTGAGTTGACCCAGAGTGGTGGCCGCCCTGGCTTTAAACTCGGGGCACGTGGAGACCTGGCAGGCTTGCGGCTCGGTTCCATGTCGCTAGGCGTCCTTCTCTTTGCTTGTTTTTCTTGTTTGAACTCGAGCCTCATGCTTGCTAGGCAGGCAGTCGTTCTACCGCTTGAGCCACTCCACCAGCCCTCTCCAGGCGTCCTGGATCCAAACTCGCCTGGGCTCAGCCCAGCGTGGTTCCCGCAGTGATTGGCACAGCCTCTGTTCAGGAGGAGCTGTAGGCTGCGGGGAGGGTGGAAAAGGAGCCGCAGAACCGAAGCAAACCAGCGACTAGGGATTAAAAGTGGGGCGCAGCTCCGCTCTTTTCTCTTTTCATCCTCGCGTTTGTTCCCTGCGGTTTTCCTCAGTTTCCTCAGCAGTGCCTGACACGCAGTAGGTGCACCATCAGTAGTGGAGGGCAAATGAGCAGTGGCTCTCCCAGGACCCTCAGGACAGGCTTGGCTGTGGAGAAGGCTTGCTCCGTGGTTTGCTTCTTAAGGTATGTGGTTCTCTGGTGGCTTGGGGACAGAATGAGTGATATGGGCACATTGGCCTTCTATAGTCAAACAGCATTTTTTTTCCCCAGGTCTGGAAGTCCTGTAAAGAATGCGTGAATTAAACAGTGTTGGGACAGAGCTGCGGATGATCTCAGTGGGATAGCTAACTCTAGCATGCATCAGGCCCTAGGCTCCATCCCCAGCACTGCAAAAATGTAACAAAAAATGTGGACCTTTACCCTGTCCCTCCCTTCAGCAAAGGAGAACCCCAGTCCTCTCCTGTGCAGCAGATGGAGCTTGGAGCTCAGGGCAAACCTTCCTGGAAGGCAGGCCCACTGTGAGCTTCCCCTGCCTCCTCCCTTCCTTTGCAGAGGGAGCATTACCAGGATATTCTGGAACTTTTCTTTCTTGAGTCTTTGAGGAGAAGACAGTTTTGGATGCAGACACTGCTGTGTAAAGCCTGGTGAGGGGGTTATGGGCTTCCGTGGTTTCCAGCTTCCCATCTTTGAAGAAACAGAGGCTTAAACTTTTTATTTAACAAATGCTCACATAGAGCATACAGTATCACAGGCACAGTTTTAAGAATCTTACTAATTTTAACTTATGTAAGAGTTTGTAGCTTGTTTAGGTTTTGCAGCTTGCCAATTACAAAAAAGATTTTTTTTTTTTTTTAAGAAAAAGGAAGGTTGTGTGAAGTAAAGATTCTACCATTAGAAGTCTGATCAGGAAGCCCAACTCCATACTCCCTCTTGGGCATTATACTGCTTCCTGCCTGACTAGCATTGGGTGAAGGAATGGCCCGGTGTCCGTGGCTGGGACAGGCAGAAACCATGTAAGGTCACTGTGACCTGTGTAGAGGGACAAATCCTCTAAATGATGTTCTGCAGTAATTGGGGTGCAAAACAGCATTAGCCCGGTGAGCCTCCCCATGGCATGTTTGGCACAGTTGCCATGGCCCCAAATGCCACCCTCTCACCTATGCCCAAAACTGTGCTACTTAATTGCGCACTACTCTCAGTTACTTCTGAGGCTGAGTCTGGGTTCTGTATGCCAAAGTGTGGGGGGAACAGAGGGAGGGACCCCAATAGATGAACATCCGCTGCCCCTGGGCCCTCAAGTGGCCTACACCATTTGCTGCCATACCCCCCTTTGTCCTATCCTTAGAGGCCTCCCTGCCTTGTGGTGCTGCCCTACCTCAGGGACTCCCTGCTCCCTCCACTTCTTCCTTGGTGCTCCACCACTCATGCCTTCAGTGTCTGTTGGAGTCATCCCTGCCCTTCCAGTCCTAGCCACCCATGCTGCTAGAAGAGTGTTCTCCCTGGCTGGTGGGCCACAGCCCAACCCCACCACCACTGCAAGTACATATAGCAGTGTTCATTGACATGGGTGTCCACCTTTCATGTTGTGTGTGAACCAAGTGTACATAAGGAAGTATCACTGTACTTATTTCCTTTGTAGGGGTGGATCCAGGCTTCCCTGGGCCTAAAGCTTAAACTCTTTAGAGGGCCCTCCAGTCACAGGGGCTCATGCCTATAATCCTGACTACTCAGGAGGTGGAGTTAGAGGAGAATCATGGTTTGAGGCCAGCCTGGGCAAAAAGTTAGTGAAGCCACCATCTCAGCAAATAGGCTAGGTATGGTGGCACTCTTCTGTAATCCCAGCTATGTGAGAGGTGTAGGTAGGAGGATCTCCATTCAAGTCTGGCCCTGGGCATACGACCCTATAATTAAAACAAGGGCCAGAAGTGAGTGCTTGCCTAGCCAGTATGAGGCCCTGAGTTCTAAACAACAGTACTGCCAAAAACAAATAATCAAAGATTAAGAACAGTTACAACTATACGGTTTTTAAGATGCTAACAAATACTGCAAATATCAGAAAACATAAAAGTAATTTTTTCATTGCTTTTTATCTAGCCCCTCCATTCTGGAATTGAGCACAGGGCCTCATGCTTGCTAGGAAGGCCCTCTGCCACTTGAACCACTTCCTCAGCCCTGCTTCTCAATCTTCTGTAATTCGTTCCTCATCTTTTTGGCTTCATACTCTTAGCATCTTTTTTTTTTTTCCAGTACTGGGGTTTGAACTCAGGGCCTACACCTTGAGTTACTCCACCAGGCTTTTTTTTCGAGATAGGGTCTCTTGCAAACTATTTACATGGGCTGGCTTTGAACTGTGATCCTCCTGATCTCTGCCTTCTGAGTTGCTAGGATCCAGCTTAGGTCCCCTGCCATGTAAGGCACATGCTCTACCACTGATCTAGACCCCAGCCCTTGTGCTATTTTTCTTTTTCTTTTGAGGTAGGGTCTCACTATGTAGCCCAGGCTCACCTAGAACTTGAGAGCCTCTTGTCTCAGCCTCCTAAGTGCTGGGGTTACAGTGTGCATTACTGCATAGCTGGCTCCTTGTAGTAGTTTCTGAGGAGGGAAGAGAAAGGGAAATTCATCCTTTCCTGTCACATAACTGACTGAAATTTATTACTGAGGGTTTAGAAAAGTTGTTATGTAATTTCTTAAGGTGCTATCAAACAGAACTTTCTACTCATTTTCTTTCATATACTAATATATGTTATATATTTGTTGTAAGATGTGGAAGAACTTCATACGCTTGCTTCCAGCTGCACACAGTTGAAACCTCACTTCTTTCCATGATCCACACACTACAAGGGCCAGCTGCCACACAAAGCTCACCAGCTCCCACTCTGGTCCTGCATGTTGATGTCAACATGATAGTCAGTTGGGGAGGTGGACAAGAGGTGAACAGTCCATTCCTATCCATGGTGGTGAACAATAGCTTATAGACAGATGCTACTGCAAACTCTACATGTAAGTTCCATCAGCCCCAAAGTGTGTCTGCTCAACTTCCCTTTTGCCCATACTGCCCGCGTCCACTCCAGTATCATCAGGTGCCATGTCTGGTGGAGGGTCAGTCAAAGTGAAAAGAGACAAGGTCAGATCTTTAGTTAAAATATCTGTCATCTGCCCATTAACAAAAGGTGTTTGTGTGTGACCTTGCGAACATTTCACCAGAACCTCTTGTAGGCAGGTGATGCTTGAACTCCATTTGCTTTGCAATATATTCACCTCTGGGTAGTTACAACAACTTACAACAAAATCTTAGGACAAGCTGGAAGCTGATAGCTCATGCCTGTAATCCTAGCTACTCAGAAGACGTAGATCAGGTGGATCATGGTCTGAAGCTAGCCCTGGGCAAATAGTCTGTGAGACCTATCGTCAAAACACCCACCACAAAAAGGACTGGTGAAGTGGCTCAAGTAGTACATCTCCTGCCTAGCAAGCATGAGGCCGAGTTCAAACCCCAGCACTACCAAAAAGTATAATAATAAAAAACAAATCTCAGGACAAAGCAGAAAATCAAAACCCAACCCTCCCTGTTCTACAGTTAGCCTTTCACACCCTTGAAGATTTTGGTTCCCCAGGCCCAGCCTTAAGAATTGGGGACTGATTTAGCCAGATCTAGCTACTCTGTTTGGTGTTTTCAAAACACACATTGCATTTCCCTGCCCAGATCCTGAGCCCCTTCCTTCAGCTGGAGGGATCCCCTCCCAGGTCACCTGTTCCTCTCCCTGCCCTACCAAGTTGGCAGTCTTCCCAGCTTCCCTTATCCTTGGCCTGCTGTCTCCACTATGGATCTCTGAATGTGGATACCTTCCTGTCCAACCCTGGCTCCCTAGGAGCAGAAAGTGCACGTAAGGGGGCAGAATCCCATGCCGCCCACTTGTTTATCTTGCTTTGCCAACACTGTGATTTTCATTGTATTCGCACAGGGAATCAGGCAAGTGAAATAATATTGAAAGGACCATGGTGAAGAGCAGCAATGCCCCATCCCACACTCCTCACCCCTCATGCTATCCCCAGAAGCCCCTTTACAGTTGTCTGAGGTTTACATTGCTCTTTCTTAAGTTGTGCCATGCGGCTGCCTTTTATTTGTTTCCATCAGTATCCATGCCTATGTTAGGATGGCCATTTGAGTGTAAATCGTGGTCCAGCCAGGCAGTATGGCATATAATATC